TTTTTTATCTGTTTACTTATACCGAATCAAACCCCATAATAGGGAAGAACTATCCCCGTGGTTTTAGCCTTAGCTGCGGCACTTTTGATCATGCTACATCTCGCTGAGTAAGCTCCCATCGTCATGGTCACTCGTCCTTTCGGGGGTGGCTGTAACAGGACCTCCGTTACTGTTTCAAATCTTGCCAGCAGTTTTTTTTTAAAAGGCTAGCTCGGTACGGATTGTGCACTTTCAGACCGAAAGGTCAATCATAAGGTTTCTAAGATTCGTTGCAATATATTCTTTGATGTAAGTACACAAGGAAGGGTTTTTGTCCCTAATCTCGCCTCTATTGAGCAGTAAAAAATAGTTGTATGCATAATATGCCTATAAAAAAATTGAAATCAGAAACTGATAAGCCCTCGTCATTCAATCTGCAAAGCCTATGTATTAGCCTCAAAAGCGACAGTTCCGGTTTTTACTGTTCTCTAACAATGATTCGAATGATTCGGGGAATGGAAGAGCTTTTTTTCTTACCTTTCTTCATCTACCACTTACACCATCGGCTGCGATGCCTGTTTTTTTCCTCACATTCCTTTTTTTCCGTCTCGATCCTTGACGTGACGAAGTGCCCCTGTGTGGGGGATGGCTACTGTAGGTCGTTCTCATATCGGTTTATTTTCATGTTTAAAGTTTAAGTAAAGAAACTGTCGGGTTCTTTTTTCAATGTAAACAAGCACCACGTGCTATTTGTTTCTGCTGTTTCTGTTCGACACCGTATACTTTCGAATTTTACCGTCATTTCGTGTTCTTCGATGAGTATTTTTTAGATGGGTATTCATATTATTACAGAAATCCATTTATTTTTAGTATTATGAGTGAATCATTGCTGCCGGATGGGATGGCGGAGGCTATCAACGCTACCGTAATCTTCCCTTCAGGTAACTTTCGCGTCATTCTTGATGGTTTTGTATAGCTTTGTTTTCTAATTCATTATTTACTCTACTAAACATGTACAGTAGACCACAAATAAATCGAACTCCATTGAAATCCATAGAAACTTACCGGAAATGGTTAAGTAGAACGAATTACTCAAAGGTGCCTGTAGATTGAAGCTGACCATCCGATTCTGGCTGGAAAGAAAGGTGCCCCTTTNGTGCTATTTGTTTCTGCTGTTTCTGTTCGACACCGTATCGTTTCGAATTTTACCGTCATTTCGTGTTCTTGGATGACCATTTTTTCAGTTAAGTATTTATATTGTTATAAAAATCCCTTTATTTCTAGTATTATGAGTGAATCATTGCTGCCGGATGGAATGGCGGAAGCTATCAACGCTACCGTAATCTTCCCTTCAGGTAAATTTTGCGTCATTCTTGATGGTTTTTGTATATCTTTGTTTACTAAATCATTATTTACTTTATCATTATTTACTAAACATGTACAGTAGACCATAAATAAATCGAA